GGGGTGGAGTCATCTTCACACAACTCACTGAAGTCTTGGGGATCAATGTGAAGGAGTGTGGGAAGAGTATAAGAATCAGAGAAACAGGGGGATTGCTGTGAGAGTATTTTTCCTAGAAATGCCAAAAGCTACACACAGGAAGTCTCTCCAGCATGAATAGCAGCTTCCTTTAAGGCTTCATAGCCACTTCCCTGTATCTCAGAAACGATGAAGTTTGGGTCCAGGAAATTGTTTGTCCTGGGCATTGTAGAGACAATCAGGAGCCACTATCCAGTAGAGGCCAACAGAACCCCACCACGATGGCAGACATTCTAAACTATTTTCATATGATTATGAATGCCCTTGGGTGAAAGGGTGTAGCCCAGCTGCAGTAAAGTGTGGCCCCCTTCTCACAATATACTACTTACCATATACATCTTTCAAAACACACTGCCTACTGCATCACAGTTATTACACACAGGATAGGACATTCTTAGCAAGATGCAAGCATAGTGAGACACATGTCAAGGTGGAGGGTGTGAGAAATTAATGTTGAATCATTTAATATCATTTGCTCACAGGTTTTAACAAACTAAGTTTTACCATCCTACCTAGATTTTGTTTATTATGTTTTTAAACTGACCTTAATGTCAAGTCTAGGTAAATAAGGACTTTTTAAAATGATATTCTTCATCCCAAACATAATGTTCCTCAAATCTATATGATGTTATAACCTGAGCAAATAATTCCATTATAGATCTGTACATTATTATTAGTAAATCTGTAAATCCGTAAATCCTTCCCTGGTCTCCATCTCTTTGAACCTCTATCTATCTATCTATCTATCTATCTATCTATCTATCTATCTATCTACCTACCTTTATTTCACTATCTTTGTCTCTCTTCCTCTCTCTCTCTTGTTCTCTCTGTCTGTCTGTCTGACTGTCTGTCTGTCTGTCTGTCTGTCTGTCTGTATCCATGTTGACACAATGGTTTCAGGACCCTACAGTGGCCAAGAGAAAATCTTAGCTCCAGTTCAGTGGAAATGTTTCCTCGCTCCCTGAGAGACAGCTTCTTTCCATTTAAATCAAGGCTGTTGGCCTGCAGAGAGCAGACAGAGGAGAAATATCTGAGACCTATTCAGGTGTATAGATTACAGAGTGTGTCTGTGCTGATCTCCCCTAATCCCAAACTCTGTCCTAATCAGAATAACTTCAATTTTGTCCTGAAACTCATTGAGAGTGCAGCCTCACAAATACCTCTGATCTTCCTAAGCATGTGACCCTGGTGACATCTGCAGAGTCATTTCTACTAACAGGAAACTGCAGGGCCATTTCTGCTATCAGGGTTGATTCAGTATTTACATCCTTTAGACTGTGTGGTATATGTAGTTTTTTAAGTTAAGGAAAAAAAAAACAGAAATCTGTTTCCACGGATGTTACAGACATTTATAAACCACAAGTGCAGAGAACACTAGGGACATCATCAGATGGATTTGAGATCCAGGAACCAGGACTCCGCTCTGCACCTGTTCCTGCGCTGTCCCTGTTCACCATGTGCTGAAGTCGCCCCCTGCTGGTTCTAAGCGCTCCTGCAGGGAGGTTTTTGTCAGGGTTCACACACCATTGTGATCCAAAAAATCATTAGTCATGACAACGAAAAAATTATCCTATGGAAGTCTGGATATCTAGAAGAAATGGATCCACTTCTGAGTTCAAATAATCTAGCAAAGTAAGCCTGGAAGGCATAAATAATGCAAACAGATCATTGTCAATGAGGTTGATGCTGGTCTCAGAAGCCTCGCCTTAAAGAAATGTCCAGGAGCAGACAGAGCCCCTGTTGAATCCAACAAGAAGATTACAAATATATACAATAACCTATGTAATATGTACCCATGTAGGGCAAGTTGCAGCAAATTTCATAAAAGACATATCACCAGTATTAAAAGCACAGACAGAGCCCAATGTAGTGACTTTGGTTGAACGCAGTACCCTATTCTCACCAACACACAGTTCATTTTACACCTTACACAGAGAAGCATTGAAGTTTCATGTGATGTGCATATTCGTGTTATATGAAATGTTTATAGACAGCTATAAAGTCTCTCAGCAAGTTCACATATGGCAGGAAGATTGTCTTAAACTCATTCTGTTATTGTGATACATCAAACCAAAAATAAGAGAATTTTGTGGAAGTCAGAAGCTTTGGATATCCTTGTGAAAAACATGCCACCTCCTTGTATGTGGGCTCTGTGAAATTTCATGTCCCCAGCCAGTTTGAAACCAACAACAAACCAGCATTCACTCAATGTCTTAAGTTTCCATTGATGTTTTCCCCAAGTTAATAGGTAAGGGAACCCCTCTTTCCTTTCTGCCATGACTATGTGGTTTATATTTGAAAATCAGAGTCCGTGGGGACATTGGTTTTATACACATAACACAGAAGAGAGCAAAAGAGTGTTGGTCCTTGGAGGACAAGAAATTTCTGTCCAACTTACCTGGTGTAGGAGACACTTACTGAGTACCACATTGTCGGCAGGGATAAGACAAGTCCTTAAGCCCAGGTCTTAGAGCCTCTTGATAGACACCCTCGTGGGAAAGTGTCTATCTGAGAATCCCATTCAATACAGAGTCATGAAAGGAAATAATTCCCCTACCTTCTGGTCAACCCCTGCTTTCCAGATGGAGGAGAGAGCAGGGTTTTTCATGAAATCACTGATATTTCAAATGTTATTTAAAATTCAACATAGGTTTGTATGTTCTTTAACATAGAATTAGCCCAGGGGACTCATGTCTGCCACAAGATATTTCCATACAATTACATCCATATTAATCATATAAAGTCCATATTTGTCATAGAGAAGCAATGTCTACTAGAGAAACATCTAAAGTAAAATTTCTGAGCCAAAGAGACATCTCATGACATCAAAACATTGAGATTGCCAAGCATCACAGTGTTTTTCCAAAACCCAATGCTCTATAGAAGGAATGCAACCAAACATGAACTGTGAGAGGTGATGCTGTGTCACTGTAGGTCCTTGTTCTGTAAGGCTGGAGACAGTAGGTCAAGATCCTGTGACTGGGAAGGAAGCACATGCGGGGGCCACAGAACTGTGTATGATCTCAGGACCTATCTAAATTAGCATGCACTTACACTGAATCCCTGTGTGAGGTCTGTGAAAAGTGATTTAATAACACTTTTAACCAGCTTACAGGAATTAAACCTGTAGGGGTGAAAGGTCAAGGAGAAACATTCTGTCTCTGTCTTGATCCAAATCATTTAATAAATCATACAGATATTGTTTGATGAATAATGTTTGTAGTCTTTATTTTGAGTTCCTTGGAGTCGCTAACAAGGAGTCATCCTTGTTACAGTGTGTTAAAGATGACTTCATCTCCTCTGTTCATAGACCAAGCTACACCTTACTTCCATGCCCACTCTGCACTAATGAGTCTGAGGATTGGCTGTTATTAGAAAATCCTTACAACTGAGGACAGTCTGTGGGACTTTGGTGGACTTTTTGGATGCCAATCTTCTTCTTCACCCCCGGAAATCCCATATCTGAGTCTTTCCTTTTTTATGAATGTCCTTTAGGCTCTGGGATCCCATGGTGGGGACAGATCTCATCAATGGAGAGACAGCTGTACAGTGCAAGTTCTGAGGGACTTCAACTTCTGTGTATTCTTTGTCACCTTGTGTGTGACCCTACAATGATTTGGGGGCATTTATTTCAGACTTTCTAACTCATCTTTGGTTTGTTCAAATTTCCCTAATGTTCAGACAGAATTTGACAAAAATATCACAAAATGCAATGTAAGGCTTGTTAACTGAAGGGTATATATGAGACCACTCACACTGATGATTTTATTTTAATTACATGAGTGGGGCACTGTGTGTCATGGTGTGTACTTGGCTTAGATTTCCATTCTCAGGGCTCTGTGGGAGGAGAGCACAAATCACAGGCAAGGTCAATCTGACCACATAACGTTTACTTTTCTTCAACATCAGAGGTAGATTCTGCTCTGTCAAATTTTAAGATGTTAACAATTAGTGTGAAAACTTGAGTATTTACTTCATATGGTAATTTTAATCCTATGACCAATTGATATATTTTCTCACACAGAAGAGTCCATGTTTGTGAGGAAGTAACCATTGACAGCAGACTTCTTATCTATACTCACCAGCACACACTTGATACCAGGAAATCCCCTGTTGTGCATTGCAAGGTGGGTAGTGCAGCTGCAGGTGTGTGGACCCCCTAGTCACACTGTGTGTCATTCCCTAGGCATCTCAGCAACTGTTTTGTGTGAGCAGACTAGGATGAACTCTAACACATAGATGTTACTGAGAGTGCCGTGTGTGAGCGATCAAAAATGAAATTAAATTTTTATGTGAAAACTATTTCCATGTGAGATCAGCTGAGATCCAAAAAGCTGCTTTCATCAAAACATATTCATCAACACAGAGAAATGGCTCAGTCTATAGACTTTATCCACATTCAGAGTGACAAGAAATATTACTGTACACCCTGGTCTGAGACTCACAGTGAAACAAAAACGAATGTGACTTTATATAAACACAACATTGCAGCATGAGAGAGAGAGAAGACTCCATGTCTTCTCTTTTCTTAGGGAGTGAGAAGCAAAGTCAGTGGAAACCAGGTGTTTTTCTATCCCTGTTCTAAAGATATACAGTTCCTCGGCTTCCTTAGGGCTGAGCGCCCCCTGCTGGCCCAGAGCTCCTCTGCAGGGAGGTTTTTGTCTGGGCTCATGCTGAAGTCCCCTCACTGTGTGTCTTGCACAGTAATATGTGGCTGTGTCCTCAGTGGTCACAGAGTTCAGCTGCAGGAAGAACTGGTTCTTGGCTGTGTCTCTGGTGATGGAGATGCGGCTCTTGAGGGATGGGTTGTAGCTGGTGCCACCACTATAACCTATGTACCCCATCCACTCCAGCTTCTTCCCTGGGAACTGCCTGAATCAGTGCCAGTCATTACCACTGGTGGTGATGGAGTGACCAGTGACAGAGCAAGTGAGGGACAGCGACTGTGAGGGCTTCACCAGGCCAGGTCCTGACTCCTGAAGCTGGATCTGGGACAGGACACCTGCAGACAGGAAGAGTCAGTTCTGGAAATTACATGTTGTCACATCCCCTCATGGACACATGTATGAAATGGTCACACTCACCAGGAAGGGCTGTCACCAGGTACAGAAGACCCAACAGTCTCGTTTTCTAGGCTACACCCCCTTTTCTCAGAGGTCAGCCTCCTGTGAGAGAGATGTGAGCTCCCACAGCCCAGGAGGGGATTTAACTTAGAGCTAGAAGATGCATTTGCATGTGGGGAGTCAGCCTTGTCCTTATAAAAGAGGAGAGTGGGTACCACTCCATTTCCTCATTACAACACAGCCATCACTGTGTCTCATTGTCTATAGTGTGTGTCTGAGGTAAGACAGTTTGGGGACCACAGGGCTCACAGGACACACACACTGGCATGACTCCAGCTCCATTTCCTAGACCAACACCCCCCAATCTTCTGCTCCTATGTGTATTTTTGCTTCTTTCCATTCATTTATTTTTTAACATTTTATATATTATTATTCTTTAATTAATTAATTTTATATTCAAATTCCAGTTTCTCCTCCCTCCTCTCCCTTCCCTTCTCCCACTCCCCCACCTCCCATCTGCTCCTTGTAGAGTATAAGTCCTTCCCTAGGAAGCTACTAATTCTGTCCATCATCTCCTTGAGGCTGACCAAGGTGCCTCCCCACCCCCTGGCACCACTGTGTCTAGGCTGGGCAGGTTCTCTCTCCATGTAGAATGGGCTCCACTAAGTCTGATTGTGCATTAGAGTTAGATCTTGTTCACACCATCAGTGGCCTCATGTATTGTCCCTGCTGCACCACTGTCACCTATATTAAGGGAGTCTTGTTCAGTCTTATGCAGGTTCCCCGTTAGTCAGACCAGAGTCACTGATCTCTCACTGTCTCAGGTCTGCTGATTCTGTGGAATTCCCCATCATGGTCTTGACCCCTTTGTTCATATCATCACTCCTCCCTCACTTTGATTGCACCCCAGGAGCTGGACCCTTTGGTTAGTTGTGGATTTCTGCATCTGCTTCTATCTGTTCATGGTAGAGGGTTAAAGCTTCTCTGGGGTTGAGGATTGTACTCTGTGTTCTTTTGCTTCATTTCTGGTATCCACTTATGATTGAGTACATACTATATTTGTTTTGTGGGCATGGGTATCCTCACTCAGGCTGTTTTTTTAAATTTTTACTAGCTTGTCCATTTGTCTGCAGATTTTAGGACATCTTTGTTTCTCACTGCTGAATAGTACTTCATTGTGTAAATATGCCACAGTTTCTTCATCCATTATTTGGTTAAGGGGCATCTAAATTATTACCAAGTTCTAGATTTTATGAATAATGCTCCCAATTAATGTTTGCCCATCTTTCCTAGAAAGTTAGCATGCAGTCATGTCATTGCAGCATGGGGTCCATACCTACTTCTGTTATGATAAATCTTTCCACCAAAAGCTGCCAAGCCCCCACTGCCACGTGTGCACTCTATGTCAGCCGCCTGCCTGAGTTAGAGCCCCATTTAATGCACAGAGACACTTGTATTAGGTATAATGGTGCTTGGCCAATTACTAGGATTCTCATCTGTTAGCTCGGTCTTAATTATCATAAATCTATATATGTTATAAGACTCATTGGACGCCTTCCATTGGCACTCTCCCTTAGTGTTGGATCACAACACTGCTGGAGGATGCAAAGTGGAAAAAAGGGATACTTCCTGTTTCTCCTTGCTTAAATGAGTCTCCTTTGCTATGTCACTTCCTGTCTGGATCACCACTTCTCTACTACATTTCCCAGAATCCTCTTTGACTCTTAGTCTAACTTGCTGTCTCATAGCCCACACAGTATTTTATTTTTCATCCGGCAAGACAAACACATACACAGAAGCACTTCCCCATCATATTTCTTCCTCCTTCCTGACTGTGGAATGTAGAGGAAACACATGCTGATGGGAGAAGCGTCTTCCCATACTTCCTCCTCCCTCCTCAACTCCCAAGTCAACCGATCCGTATTCACCACCTTGCTGTCTTTTGAAAACAAATAGGATTCTAGTGAATAAAATACAATAAAGTAAAATTAGATAAAAATTGACACATTTGAACAGGAGAAAACAAACAAAAAACTGAATGACAATAGCCCAAGAAAAGGCACAAGAAACAGGTGTTGTTGCAGAGACCACCAGATTTATATATACTCAGGAATCCTATAAAAAGACAAAATGAGAAGCTGTACCATATAGGCAAAGGAACTCTAGGATAAAATAAGAGACAACTAGATAAATGTATAAAATATAAATAAAGCCATGTGATATCATGATACAGGGAACCTTCCAAAGGTATTTGATTAGATCCTGATGGCATCTGCTGATGGATCTGCAGCCTGTGCATAGGACTATTTGTTTCCTCCACCAAACACTCTTTGACAAAGATCATTTTTCAATTTAAAGGTGTTATGAATTGGAGATAGGTTCTAGGTTAGGGATGGGACCACATGCACACCTCCTTGTGCTCTAGAACCCCATCTGCTGTGGACAAATGCATGTGCTGTTTTTCCAATAGAGAAATTCTTTCTAGTCTGAGTAAACTGGCTTCATGGTGATTGAGGGAGTCTTTGAACAAGGTCATTTCTGTTATTGTAGCATTCCCAGGAGAGTGACAGAGATTTGAGGAACTAACAGATCCTGTATCCTTCTAGGGGAGGGTTGTAACTGCCATAGGAGATGGTCTCCTGGGCCTTGTATGTGATTAACTGAGAGGAATAAACTCTGAGTATGTCAGGAAACCCCCTTGCTGTCCTCTCTGCACTTACTCCCCAGGCTCTGCATGAATGATTTATTTTGGTTTTCCTTTTTGATGCCTCATAGAAAAAATACTTAGCAATGTTATTGATCATATGGCTTTTTTGTCATTTGAAAATCATAATACACAATATCACACTGTGTACCTCTGTGTTTTCTTTGACAGAACAGGGTCTCCAATTAATTATTTTCACCCCATGCAGGGATTGCTCTGAAATGTTTGTAGACAGTTTTATTCTCTATCAGCAATCCTTTATAGGTCAGGAAGGTTGTCTGAAGAACCTTGTGTGACTGTAATGCAGCAGTGTAGACATAAGATGGAGTTCTGTGGAGAATGGAAGCTTTGACTGTTCTTGAGAATTCCAGTCTCTCGCCACAGAAGTCAGCCCTATGAACCTTGCATTAGTCCAGCAAGTTCACATATAACAGCAACCCAACATTCATATCACTGTTAGTTTTTGCTGAGAGTTCCCAGGGATATACAGATAAGGAATCCTCTTTACTTTATATCCTGAGGCTGTGGTTTATATCTGAGCAAGAGAGTTCATGATGCTGATGAACCTTTATGCTTCACATGAGTCATTGGTAGGACACTGGGCCTTGGAGGAAAAGAGTGACTACAGAGAATTATGGCATGCTGAGTCACTGCATTTTGAAAATTAACCATCTTGTCATTGCTTGACCCATCACATTTTGTGAGGCATCATGGAGTTGGTCCAGTCCTGCTACATTGAGAGGAAAATGTTATAGGTTTCCAGGAAATGTCATAGGTTTCCCATTCCAGTGGCTCTTGGGACACTGTGTGCCTTCCAGTTCCTGATAAACCCAGGCACTCCCTCAGTTAGAGAATCTTTCAGGACACTCTGCTTCTCCGTGTTTCCCAGAAAACCTACTAGATTTCCTGAATCCTGAGAGTGGGATCTTCTTCACTGTCTGTCTCACTGTCTCTGTGTCTGTCCTCATCTCCTGGTCTTGGATCCATCTTCTTTGATTCACAAAGTCCATGGGCCTGAATTTTCAAATGCACATAGAGATAAAAATTTCCCTTAACATCTTATTTGAGCTTTCTCCCTAGTCTATTTGTTGCATCACATTTAAATCAATAGCAGACTGCTCCAGGCTTTTCCTCAAAATTTGCATCCTGGAACAGGTTTAAAATGGCTCATATACTAAGGTACAGGCCCAGAAATTGCTCCAACTAATGCCCACATGTCTCTAGCCTAGAAGTTCCCTTAGAACCTGATCGGCCTGCACAGGACCAGCATTCCAGCTTCTTTTGGCCCCACCCTGTTGTGGGAATTCACCCACCCAATAGTATTTGAGATATCAGCCCCTTCCTGTTGGAGACTCAGGTGCTGCATGCAGACAGAGAGAGGAGCTCTTGTCCTCAACTGTGTTTGCAGATCAGGTCTCAGCTTCCAGATCTCTGGGCAGAAGACCTCAGTGGTTCTCTATCTATTTTTATTCATGAGTAAGTCCCAAATAAATACCTGACTTCCCTTTATCCAGGTTTTCATGGAATCTATTACAGTCAACCATTACACCACCCAACAATGATGCCTCAGTGTCGTAGGAAGTAGTGACAGAGAAGATTACACATGGCTCCTAATCATTTGTTTATTACCAGTAAAAGCCTGAGATGTTAGCTTTCAAACCTGGGACAAATGAATGATGTGCCAATTAAAAATATCACGGCCGAAAGTGAACACCATATCTCCCTGCCTCCCTCAGTCCCTACCTCTTACAGGGTCCTCCTGGCTGGTATATCCTTCTACACACCCTAAACATTCCAGCCCGGGGCTGGGCTTCCCTACATAGGCTGCTCTCCTCTATATACTCCAACTGTTTCAGGAACCTTGTCCTTTTCATCTCATTTGGGTGTCCTGATTGCTTCACCTGGTTCCCCTGTGTTCCCTCCCCTTACCACTCCCCCCACTCGTCACATGACCCAGGGTAGTGTCCACTCTGGCCTCTCACAGATGTCCAAGCCTCTGGCTATGCTCTCTGACATACCAATTATAAAGTTACTACTCCACCATAACTGCTGCAAGTCATTTTTTTAAATTATTTCTTGTTTTCATTCAATAACAGCCTTAACCTTGTCACACAGGGTTACACCCTAGGTCTCAGGTAAGTTTCATGTAACTGGCTCATGTCTGTTTTGAACCAAGACCAGGAGTTAGAAGAACAAAATGTAACAGGAGACACCATGATCAAAGTTACAGGTTAAGTAACTGCATCAGGGAACAAAAAAAAGGGTCACATCTGTGTCTGATGTGCCTGGTGCTCAGGGAAACAGAAGACCTGAGACCTGTTAGGGTGTGGGGGTCACTGAGTGTGACCTCACCTCCCCTGTGACTCCAATAATCCCAAGCTCTGTCCTAACCGGATACCACTGAGTCTTTGTCTGAATCTCATGAGGGAAAATCATCACCAATACTGCAGACCTCACTCAGCATTTTTTTCCTTTCACTTTCTGATAATTTTTATTTTGTTTCATTTTATTAGTTCAAATTAGGAACAAGCTTGTTTCACATGTCAATCCCTTCTCCCTCTCCCTCCCTTCCCCCCAACATCCCACCTGCCCCTAGCCATCCCCCCTCTATTCCCCAGGCAGGGTAAGGCTCTCAAAAGGGGCTCCCCAAAGTCTACCACATCATCCTGGGCCAGGCCTAGGCCCTATCCCATGTGTCCAGGTCAAGAGAGCATCCCTTCACAAGGGATGTGCTCTCAAAAGCCTTTCTTTTTTTAAGACCTTACATATTTAATACAGTGCATTACCTCTGTACAAATGGAAAAAAATTAAGTTCAACATTTCTAGACAATTATGGCTGCAGTCATTTGAACAAAATTGTAGAGACATCCAGCATACTCCATTTAAAAAAAAAAGTAAAAAACAAAATCCCAGAAAAACAGCACAGTTCTGTTACTCTTGTGGTACCTGGCACCATTTTTTTAATTAGCTTCTCAATCATCATCTGGAAGGAAACCACTGTGAGCAACATAATTAAAAACAGCTTTGATAAATCACGGTCACTACACTTTTTCAGGGACCTGGTCCTTTTCATCTCTTTTGGGCATCCTGAGTGCTTCACCTGGTTCCCCTGTGTTCCCTCCCCTTACCCCTCCCCCCACTTGTCACATGACCCAGGGTAGTGTCCACTCTGGACTCCCACAGATGTCTGTGCCTCTGGCTATGCTTCTGACATATCTATAATAAAGTAACTCCTCCACCATACCTGCCAACAGTCATGAATTTTTAATTTTTATTTCTTGTTTTCATTCACTAGCAGCCTTAACTTTGTCACACAGGGTTACACCCTATGTCTCAGGTGAGTTTCATGTAACTGGCTCATGTCTCTTTTAAACAAAGGTCAGAAGTTGGAAAAACAAAATGTAACAGGAGACACCATGATGAAAGTTAAAGGTGAAGTAACTGCATCAGGGAAATTACAAATGGGTCACATCTGTGTCTGATGTGCACAGTGCTCAGGGAAACAGAAGACCTGAGAGCTGTTAGGGTGGGGGGTCACTGAGTGTGGCCTCACCTCCCCTGTGAGTCCTCTAATCCCAGACACTGTCCTAACCGGATACCACTGAGTCTTTGCCTGAATCTCATGAGGGAAAATCATCACCAATACTGCAGACCTCACTCAGCATTTGATCCTGTGTCATCACCAGAGTCATTTCTGCTATCCGAGGTGAAGACTACACAAAAACACAATTGTGCTTGTTTTGTATTTTCTTAGGCTTAAGACCTACTGGGTAATGTATTTAATACACTGACAGGAGTAAGATGGTATCTCAGAGTTGTTTTGATTTGCATTTCCGTGATGGCTGAGGACGTTGAACACTCTCTTATGTGTCTTTAGCCATTTTAATCTGTGATAGACGAAGTATAACCCTGCTGGTCCTGAGCGCTCCTGCAGGGAGGTTTGTGTCAGGTTCACACTGAAGTCCTCTCACTGTGTGTCTTGCACAGTAATAAATGCCCTTGTTGAACAGATGCCCTTGTTGTATGAATGTGCTTCTTTTGGGTATATGCCTAGGAGTGGAATTGATTGTCAAATAATGAAACAGATTCCCATTTTCTTGAGGAGTCGCCATACTGATTTCCAAAGTGGCTGGACAAG